GCTGCTAATTGGTCAATCTCCATATCGGTGGTTAGAAAAAGATGCTAACCGCCCTGGAGGGAAAGTTGCTAGTGGGAGACGCTGTTCGTTGAAAAATAGGTCTCTCCTATCTTCCCGTAGCTGGGACAAAGACTGTTTGTTTGAAGGACTTTAGTCAACTAAATCCTAAGATTTATGACGGGGCCGTCAGACTAGCTGAACATGTACTGCGGAGACGCATCGACATATGGCAATCTTCTTGCTCGAAGAATAGGGTCTACGCGTGGCGAGCCACGGGACAGAAACCGCTGGAATGTTTACTGTCGCGTGCCGCTACAAATATTTCTTTTAAGGAGAGCTATAGAATTACTCCATACCTTTGTTAGACAAAGCGTTCATCTCGTAACTGCGTTCGGCGACTGGCTGTCACCTCGAGCCCAAGCTCGTTATCAGAACTCGCGAAGAATTACAATCGGATTGAATAACTACAATTGTTTAATTACAGCTATAGTAGACTATAGATTACAATGTTGCGGGATTATCCAAAATTCCAAAGGCTCCGGTGTTCTTTCATCTCCGACACGGCCATCCTGACTATCACACGTCCTCGTGTGTTACTAAAATATTGCGTTTTTCCAACATTAGACTCGATGTAACTGATCTTATTTACCGTTCAACTAAATGTTCCAAATAAGTCAACGGTCCAATTTGACAACAAAATTCTGTTCGGAGGTTTGACAAGCAAGGAAATGAAAGAGAACTAAAATTAGTAGCGTTATAATTTGTCTTCAAAGTGCCAGTTGCATTTTGTGAGTCACCAGTCAGACCGTAACGACACGACAGATCATTTTCGATTTCGTACACGGGTGGATCGCAGTTTGTTGGATCATATTACTACGTTGTGTGTATGAAGGCGCAGGAGGTCACAGTTGACGCAAAAAGGCGCAGGAGGTCATAATTTACGTACAAAGGCGCAGGAGGTCATAATTGACGTACAAAGGCGCAGGGCACCACAATGGGTGTGCCACAATGTGGCGTTAATGATCCTCGGAGGTTCGTGCACTTGCATCGTTATTATCACCGTCGTTGTCATCGGCGGCGACGTCCAACTCAGCAGGAACGCAGCTTTCTGGCATTTGTCTCAGTCTGTCATGTCTGTCCTTATGTGATCGTTTGCAGTCTAAGGTTTTTAAAGTATATCTATCTCCTTCCAAAATCTCTGCTATCATGAATGGACCCCTGAATTTCGGATCTAACTTCGTTTGGTTTCTTTCCTCATTTTTGCATAATACAAAATCACCAATATTAAGCTAACTACTTTAGCTTTAGTTTTGTCAAATCCACCTCTATCGTACCTAGCACTAACTTCTATATCCTTTATTGCCTGCTGTCCTCCATGGGAGATATTTACTTCTCTTTCTTCCATATTGTCGGGTACGGATAAGCCGTGGGGTCTTGCTGTTTTACCGATTAGTAGTTCCAATGGGCTCGACATAGTCACGCGGTTGGTGGTGCAATTTAAAGCCAGTTGTATTTCCCCAATTGCGTCTTGCCGAGACCGCCCGGTCGTTTCTATTGTTGTGAACATATTTTTTTTTTTTTTTTTTTTTAGCGTACCCATAATACGCTCTATCTGTCCGTTGGCCCTACTCGCACCGGTTGAGGTTAAGTGAAGTTTAGTGTCTACCTTGACAGAAATCTTGGAATACTTCCCCGTAGGACACCTCTCTTGATCTCTTGATCTTTTATACGGCAAGGACTGCCGAATAAAAATATAGCACACGTACGTGCTTTAACGGTACTAAGGGAATCTATTTTTTGAGTATGATGCAGATATGCGAATATAGTGAAAGCGTCGACCAAAACAATGACATATTCTTTTGAATCACTTTTACCGCTTACTTTTCCCGTTATGGCCATGTGAACTGTATGCTAGGGTATGCTGGTCTTAGGTATAGGATGTAATTCAGCTTGTATTTTACCTGAACTAGCCTTCGAAACTCGACAAGCACGACAGTCCTCAATGAATTTATGAACATATTTCGCAATTCCTTCGAACCAGTAGTACTCGTACAGTTTCTCAAGCGTTTTATCCCAACTTAAGTGCATATTTGACTGTTGCACATGGTTAATAACGGACCACCTAAAACTTCTGGGGACAATGGGCAAACAGAGAGTTTTGCCTTTTCTCTGTGTTTTACGATGAAGGGTACCGGGCCATAATTCATACGTATTCGCGGTATCTTCTCGTTTTGCGATTTATTGACCATCTCAGAAATTTGTGGGTCGCGACGTTAGTCCGCTAATAGCCGATCTTCGGAGATTTCGATCAGATCGATTTCCTTCTCTACGACTTCGTTGATCGTACGATGATCCAAGTCTACAGGATTTCGCGAGAAGAAATCTACGTGAGCCATTCGTTTACCTTATCGATACAAAATTAAAAGTTTGTAAATAAATAAGTAAAGTTTGTAAGTTTCACCTTATTATTAAATACCTTCAAGGAGTTGCAACCACTGACAACAAGAAATTCCTTTTCATGTAAATAGTGGCGAAAATGGTTAACAGCGTTTAGCAACTGCTAACGTCTCTAGTTTATAAGAATGATACCTAGATTCCGCAGGGCATACTGTAATATTCTATTACTCTATTTTTACCTTCAATCTTGTGCATTAAAATAGCCTCATATCCACCCGAACTAGCGTCGGTGTGAAGTTCTACCGGATAGTTGGAGTCGAACATCATTAACACCGGCGCTTCGGTCAGGACGGAAATTACCTTTTGCCTTATTTTTCCATGCCTATCCGTCCAAGTCATGTTTTTATTATTGGAAGTAAGCGCATACAAGAGTTTCATTACCCGTGAGAATTTAGGGACGAATTTTCGGAAATAAAAGGCTAAACCTATGAACTGCCTGAGCTGTGTGACGGTCGTTGACGCAGGTAAAGAACTCAAGGCGTGTATTTTACTCGGATTGGGGCGAACTTCTCCGTCACGAATTACATATCCCAAATAGAGTACCGAGGTCTTTAGAAAAGACATTTTGGGACAGTTAAAGGAGAATCCGGCTTTTACGAGAGTACCTAGTATGGTGTGCAATCCTTTTAGAGCTTGATCTATCGAGTCAGCAATAATTAGGACATCATCCAAATAGACAACAACGTACGAATGGCACGTTGGCTGCTATACGTGTTTTCAAAGGGATCTCAAGAATGATCTCTCGTTCCTTTTGTTCGCAGCATCAAAATCACCAGCCGCTGGTGAATACAATGAAGGAATGTGTAGTACAGATCACTCCGACCAAATGGTTCCCGCAGCCTGGGAGGTCCGTCGGGACAAGCGTCCCGCTTACGTGGGTCCTCTATGTACACCGCAAGGAAGATCACCGGGAGGGTAAGCGAGAGGCTCATTTATGCTCTCTCTACGTGGCCTTGGGTAGTAGCGCACCCACGATCCTGATGCCAAGAATAGAACAGTCGGGATAAGTTCCCGGGTACATTGTACCTTGAGGCCCCCGCTTACATGAGTCCTATCTGGATCTGTCGAGTACGGTTAGCGGGTCGCCGGCCGGCAGTAACGTGGTGGAACATCCACACGATAGTCCCACCAATGACTTAGGATGGTACCACGGGCGGTAGAGTGTAAGCCCGAAGGGAGTAGCGACCCCTCTGCTCGGCCAATTATGCGTTTGGATTCGTGGTAGTAGTGGTTGATGGCCAAGATGCTGGCAAGAGGCGGGTGAGCAGCGTCCCACCCGCTCCGGAACCGTCCTGGA